TGGCTAAAGAAAAACTGTAACAGAATCTTTATAAATACAAGGCACTTTTAAACTAAGCCATATGGTCATGATTAATAGCAAAAGGTCTCACTCCCTCTTTCTGAATAAACGGCAATGTCTATTAAAATACCATTTACACAGAAGTACTTGTTATACTGACATAAAGATTATCAGGATTCAAGTAAGAAAATGGACAAAATTGGAGCTATGATAATAAATGCCTGGCTCAAATGGAGAGAGATAAATCACGTAGTAGTATGTGACAAGAAGATATGAGTTATATCAAAACGGAAAGTCTATAAAACCATGGTCTGCCCAGTTTTAGTGTATCGCACTGAGCATTGGGAAACAAAGAAAAAGCATAAGCAAATGATCTGTTCAACAGAGGTGCGAATGTTGAGATGGATGAAGGATGTAAGTAAGATATACCATGCGAGGAACACGTAGTTACATGTGAGGAACATGCTCAAAGTAACACCCATAAACGAAAAAATGAGGGGAGTACAGACTCAGATGGGTCAGTCATGTAAAGAGCAGTCCTGGCAACTATGTGGGTAAGAGAGTCCAACCGATCAAGACTGAAGCAAAAAGGGAGAGAGGCTGACCCAAAAAGAAGTGGTGGGATGTCATAAAGGAAGACATGTCAGCAGGTGGTGTGGTAGAGGATATGGCATTGAACAGAGGGAGAGGACTTGTAGAGCAGACCCTATTTCAAGAAGTTTGCACAGGGAAGAAGAAGAAGAAGAAGAAAGGGTCAGAAAAGCATTTGCCATCACTACACCTGAACTCTATCTCCTTCACCACGACCACCACCACTCCCCAACCCCCGTCTCTGGGAAACTTTAATGGATGTAGAACTATATTATTTATTTTCAAAAATTAGGCAGCAGATTGAAATTTTCCAAGCCAAGCATCACGACAGAAATTATGTTCAAGGAAAGACTTTCAACGCTCCAGAGAACATTATCTGAGCATATGGGCAGATTCTGAACTGTAATATTAATGGCATTAAAAGGGGTGTGGCCATTTTCACTTGTTTGTCAGGCCACAGTTTTTCCATTTCACACAAAGAATGTAAATCCAGTAGCCATGCAAATGTAATTAGCGGTAACAATGCCTTTAAAATAAAATACCCTCCTCTCTCCCCGCAATAATGTGCTTGTTCTTGGAGAGAGCTCTGCCTGAGCAGCATTGGTTTAAGCCACACGCCGTTTCTCTCTGCAGCCTGCAAGTGGAGCACTCACACAGGAGCTGGGTGCATGTGCTGCTAAATTTCCATTATGCTTCCAACGCAAAGAAAGTGGGAGCCAGCAGCTGGCCAACTATCAGATTGCCCTCCTATCACCGGTCTCTTTGATGGCAACTTGATGCCTCCAATCCATTGAAAGGAAACTAAATAAGATCTTAAAAGTAAGGTCCTGATCATGCTCCCAGTGAAGCCAAGGGCAATGCTCCCAGTGATGTCAATGGGAACAGGACCAAGTCCTAATATTTTAAAGATTCCATGGTGCATATTTATTTATTCTCAGGACACTTTGCACTTAAAATTCCAAGCTGGTTTCTGATCTGGACTGGCTCAAAAACACTGACTTGATAAGGAGCCACAGAACTGGTTCTACTCCCACCTCCACTGCTGTCACACACATACTCATTGTCTCTCTCTTTTACATAATCCACTGACAGGATCATTCTCGTCAACTGCCTAAAATCAAAACCTGCCAAGCAGTCGTAGGAGGCAATGCACTGTGGCTGAGATAGAAGCACTACAAATCATGCTGTGAAATATGCATGGCAACACAGCCAGTTATATCTTTACAGTTATCTAGTTATCTACAAAGCCTTGGGGGGGGGGGGAGGGAATAAGTATTTGTTTTTAGCATAAAACAAGGCATCTTCATTAGCACATCATTTTAGATAGCATTTAAGTTTGTCAGAAATGACCTAATTAAAGCAGAAAATGATCTGGGAAGAACAAGAATCTTCAACCTGAAATATAAGGGAAATGAGGGACATGGCACAATTCCCACTAAAGTCACTGGAAACACTCCATTTGACTTCACAAAAAGAAAAGGAGTACTTGTGGCACCTTAGAGACCAACCAATTTATTTGAACATAAGCTTTCATGAGCTACAGCTCAAAGTGAGCTGTAGCTCACGAAAGCTTATGCTCAAATAAATTGGTTAGTCTCTAAGGTGCCACAAGTAATCCTTTTCTTTTTGCGAATACAGACTAACACGGCTGTTACTCTGAAACCTGTCATTTGACTTCAGTGAGAGTTGGATCAGGCCTTAAATCTGTGTGATAATCATGTCATTTGTAGAGGAGCCAGAGTGCATTTATTAACATGTATCAGCTTCAGCATCTCCCTCGACTTAGGGTTCTTTTTGTGTCTATTCACCAATGCCAGAATTATCCTTTACATTTGGATCATCTCTTTCTCCAAACTTCCTGCCCATTTCTTCTCCTCAGGAAGGAATTGCTTCTCACTGTTCTAGGTATATTTGGGATTGTAAACAAGGATTAATCATAAGGATGGACATCCATCTGGTTACAAATTAGGTCCAAATCCTGCAGTCTTTACTCAAACATTATGCAGTCAAAACTCCCATTGAAGTCAACAGCACTTTAGTCTGAATAAGGTCTGCAGAATTTAGCCTCAGATTTCAGAATTTTTCTAGAAATAAGCTATAAATGTCTCTTAAAGAAGCCAAGGGTCTGTTTCTGTGTGGGTCTCTGGATGGGGGTGAGTAAGAGAGGTGCAGTTATTTGCATTAATGCATCTGCAACATAATGTTCCTTTGGAAAACCAACAGAAACCAACAGGAACCAATTTAAAACACTGTAGGCTGTAAGTGTAACAGCTGCACTTCTCAAAGGAAGCTGTGATTTTATTTTCTCTACAAACAAACATTCTCTCAACACCCCTGCCATGTAGGTAGGCATGTACCGGAGAAACTAAGGCAGAGAAGTGGAGAGATTTGGCCAAGGCTACACAATGAGAAAATGGCACAGACAGATTGCAGGAGTTCCTGACTCCAAATCTGTGCTCATGCCATGAGCCTACACTGTCTCTCACTTCATACTAGGGCTATTAGAATCTACTGAGCTATCAAACAGTTACAAAAGGGAATTCTATTGATGTGATAACCTCTTTAGTGTTGCCTGGCAGATCCTACAGCTGTCACCTACATATTATTCCCATTAGAGTCAACGGGAGATTTTCAAACATAAGAACTGCAAGATCAGGTCTTGGTATAACAACACAGTATGATGCACCAGAGTTTAAGAGCTGCACTGTGCAGTAAGCTTTGGTTACCCACTTCCCCTCTTTGCAAACCTATGCATGCCCAGTGAGCCTGACCAGCCAGACTGTAATGTCATTCTCAGAGGGCAGTACTTCTGGGAATCTGTCACAGTAAAAATTAATCAGCAGGTTTCTGACTCTGCAATGTCATTTACAGATCCACTACCTGTGTTCCCTGTACTTACTTATAACACTGGTATTAAAAATAACCCAATCTGTGATGGTGTCCAATGATCTTTGAACAAGGGTGCTCAGATAAAATTACCCATACTCACTGAGAAATTATTCTGGACAACTGGGGTTCTTCAGAGTCTCCCAGATCCTCTGGGGATATTACTTACTAGCAATTCCAGACTCTACAATGACAAATTACACCTGACTGTGTAAATTAGGAAGTTATGTGGCCCTTCAAATGCAATCTCTTAAAGGCCAACCTCTTGAGCTATCTCTGTTAAACTATCATAACTGCACAAATGCCTTACATCAAACTCTGTGCTCAGGTGCACACATGTGTAAATTTGGAGTAACTTCAGTACAGTCAGTCTGGATTTACATCAGTCTGAATGAAAGTAGAATTTGGCCTTAATTTGGTCATGTTAAATTCCATCGTATCCAAATACCTCTTTCATAAAAAGAGGATAGCTAGCAAGGGCAGAAATTGCTGGCCATGAAAATTAATCAATTGCAAATATGCAAAACAAAAGTTACCAATAACTCTAAACACACTCCATCCCCTACTCCTAAGGACAAGATTCTGCCATCCATACTCCTGTTGAGTCATACCATTGTACAAATAGCCTTGTTGATTTCAATGGGGCTACTCATGGAACAATTCAGAGCAGAATCTGACCTTAGATTGCTATCTCCTCCTTTCTAGGAATCAAGTAATTCCAACACCACACAAAGGATACGTTCAAGGTCTAGCAGAACAGACATGCTAACGTGTCGAATACATACAAATTAAATTACAAAAATGCTAAGTTTTCCAAATTAAAGTCCTTAATAAGTACTTGAATCAGTTGATACAAAGAAGCTGTCCAGATATAGCAGACTGAACATCTGAGAAAGATTAAAGTGACACTCTTAATTACACTCTTGTACATTTCTGTGTTAAGAAAAATTTTTGTAAGAAGCATTAGATTTTCTAGGAACATGGTTATGATTTTGTCTGCATTTCATTTAAAATAGATTCCTCCTTGTCCTCACTTAGCAAGTCAGATGAAAGGTCTGTAAGTGATCATCATGAGGATAAGACACACTAACTAATTTAGAGACATTCTACCCAACATGCGCTGGAAAAATGAAAACTTTTTCTATGCAGATATTTGAACATCATTTGTAATTCAATCTTTTTACATATAAATACTAATAATAGCTGTACAAAACACTACTTTTAACACCATCCACAAATAATGGTGCTCAATTTATTTATGTTTGATATCCTAACTAAAGAAAACTCTTTGTATCAAATAACAAATGTGTATGCCTGCAGAAACACTTGGACACAAATGCCACTAAACAGAGCTAGTTTTCTTGTAAGTTTAAAACTTGGTATTTTTAGTAGGATTTTTTTAATGTCCCTTTTTAAAAAGACACTGGGATTTTGGAATAAAGAATTACTTTGTAAGCAGATGAGTCATCCAGGGTAAAGAGATATGACACAAACATTACGAACAGTGAATATTGTGCCCATACCTATATTTCATGCCAGTCTGCTTTGCAGTTGATTCTTTTAAAGAGATATGGTGCTGAGGGGTAAATGTCCCCAAACTGCGAGCAATAATAGCCACCGTCCGGAATTTTGCCCGGGCTGCATTCACTACGTTTGGGGTAGTGGTGTTCTGTTTGCTGATAAGCCTGTCTTCACCATTTCGATTCTTCAAGTTATGTTCTGTACAAGCTATGGAAACTTGCATGGCTCCTGCAATAAATCTTTATTCACAGTCCAAATCTTAGAGAGTACTCAAACCTTCTCAGACTCTGAGAACAGGACTATAGGACACTGAATAGCTGGAGATTTTAGTCCCAAATGCTGCTAAACGAGTCTTCAAATCTGGACTCAAAAGATGACTGAAAGTAGTAGGAGCAGCAGTGGTAGATAGTGCAGGTAGAGGAGAACAGTATGGTGTCCCTGGTGTACAAGTCAACATATAAGCACTGAACTTGGTTAAGCAAGCAAGAGAGCAGACAACTTGATTTTCAAATCTTCCTTTGCAATAATATCTACTGCTTAGACAAAATCATCCATCTAGTCAAGTGCTTTCAGAAACATAAAGCTGTACCTTCATAATTAACCACAAGAAGCAACATCCACTCCGTCTTGATGCAGGCTTGCATCTGCTTGCTGGTTTTAAATCAATGCAGGCATACTGCAAGATGTGTCTTGAACACCCTCTGGATCACAAAATGCTGAACAGGCAAGCTTTGGAACTGAAGAAATGTCTAATCACAAGCAAGTCTCTAAAAACCAGGAATATCCATCTATTGTCTTTGTCAGATGCTGCAAAATACAACATCTAATCAGGACCCTTTTCACACATTCTTAGTTTCAAGCCCTGTAAAGACAAAGCTGTAAATCTGCACCGATACGGGTTTGCAGCTGCTCTGTGGAACATGCAGAGCTCCCTGTAAGAAGCTTGCAGAAAGCATGGGAACGGTTGCTTTTTCTTTTGTGTGCAACATAGAGACAGGCACTAGAAGCAGATTCTTCCCATAAAAATAATTGGCAGCACTGCTAATCAACCAGAGGACTCATCACAGTGACAGAACAAATTGATGTAAAACATGTTAACTATAAAAATAGGGGGGAAACACTCTGCTAATGTGTGCTGGTGAATTAACACATTAATCCCTTGTCTGGCTCACTAAGATACTGCTTTAAATCCCATGGTATCAGCATGCTAGGGTTAATCTTTTCTTCGTACAAGAATCCTAGCTAAATTAGCGATGGTGCAAACTCTTCAAACCAATTCTGACTCACAACTTGCTGAAAATTGGGTTGCAATTAAACAAGGAAAGACTGGCACAAAGCTGACAAGTCATTGTCCATGCTCCACCCTGCTATGGAGCCACGTTTTCAAAAGGGTGTGCATGCTGGGCACATTGAGGAGGTGCATTCAAATGGCTGAGTTGTGGGCATTGCCCAGGGGGTAGGCACATGAAACCTATTTTCAGAACTGCACAGGACTCCCTCAGGATATGCTTAAGAACTAGTCACAGGCCAGGTAGGTGTAAAGTGGAGACACAGATGGATTCTACTTAGCCCTCCATTGGCTGCTGCCAACCACTACAACTTAAAACAGACAGAATCTGGAGGCTGATGAGATGGGGGCAGAGTAGTGGTTAGAGATAGTAGAGGCTCAGATACCATGGTGATGAGCAGGGGTGCTGGAACAATTTATACAGTGAGGGTGCTGAGAGCCATTGAACCAAACTGTAAACCCTGTATATGGTGGAAACCACTTCAAGCCAGGGGGCTTGGAAGCACCCACCACATCACTAGTTCCAGCATCTAAATGGTGATAAGCACAAGAACTGCAACAGTGTTACGGATTAGATGTGGAAGAGAGACAGGCTCTCTGTATGTTGCTGTAGGAGATGGTTGTGGGAGACAGAGGCAAGCAAGATTTTTGGAGGGGGAGCTAGGAGCCAAGAGAAATACTGAAATTGTTTGCTCTGAAGGTGAATAAGTCAGAGCAGTGGTTCTCAAACTAGGGCCGCTGCTTGTTCAGGGAAAGCCCCTAGCGGCCCAGGCTGGTTTGTTTACCTGCCGCGTCCACAGGTTTGGCTGATCGCGGCTCCCATTGGCCGCGGTTCGCTGCTCCAGGCCCATGGGAGGCTGCGGGAAGTGGCACGGGCTGAGGGATGTGCTGGCCGCCCTTCCTGCAGCCCCCATTGGCCTGGAGCGGCGAACAGTAGTTCAGAACCACTGGAAGGAGCTAGGAAGCTCCAGCCACATACCTTTTCCACCCATAAATCACATTCCAGCCTTAAACTCCTGCCCCGTGGAGATGCAAACATAAAGTGCCAAAATGAGACATCACTCACAGCAGGTTGTACAGATGTTCACTCTATTGCACCCAAGCCCACAGCAAGTTGTTGTGGTGAGTGCTGTGCTACACCAGCTCGTAGGTGTCTGGCAGCATGCTGGGTGCACCACACACTGGGGGGCAAGTGCTGGAGGTGCTCCAGGCATGGGCTCTTCAGGGTCTAGCCCTGCGTGGACATTCACACACTTTGCTTAACTGAGGATTCCTTCGTTAGCGCTGCCAGAAAGAAAAGTTGCAAGTACCCTGGGTGCAGCGACTTTAACAGTTATAAACAAATGAGATGATCCCAACAGTTCCCAACCCATCCCCTAGCTGGAAGCCCAAGCCAGGGGTACAAGCAGTAACAAGCTCCTGCTATAATCCCTTTGCATTGTCTTCTTGACAATGAGCCGCAAATGCAGCTACTGCTGACCCTTGTCAGCAACAGGGTGTGTCCTCAGCCCAGCTCTCAGGCCTGTTATCAGAGGCTTCCTTCCACAGCCAGCTCCCAGACCGCTGCCTCTGGCCTGCTATTCCTAGTCTCATGCAGCCTCTGGCACTTTCTCAAACCAGTCCCCTTCTGACCTATTGTAGTTCTTCCCTTTCCTGTGCTGGAGGGATTATGGATCCCCTCTGCTGGCTGGACATTGATCTGGGGGTAAACACAGTGCTCCGTAATGGCCCAACAGATTCATTACAAACTGACCATGTGCACTCTGCCTAGCTTCACTCACAACTCAAGCGCCAGCTGCTCAGAGGTCAAAATGAGATGCCTGGCGCTCTTCTTCCTTGTGCATGGTGATCGTCAATGAAATAATTAACGATATTAACATTTAAATAATGATGGTTAGGCTCCAATGTTAACTACCCCTAAGTCCACACCGTGGAGAGTCAAGCTGCGATCAGTAACACTCAGGTCATGTTTTCAAAGCTATCTTCAAAACCATAAGGGCTAGATGCTTAAAAAAAGAAAGCTACAACTCTGGAATACAAGGCAGCAGTGTCCAAAAAAACAACCAACTGAAAACCCACCCTCTGAGCTGCCACAATCCAACCTAATTCAGTCCCAGCATATCTTGCACTGTACTTATTTAGGGATGCAGCAATTAAAATGATAGTGACCTAGAAGTAGGGTTGCCAATTTAGGTTGACCTATTCCTGGAAGTTTCCTCACATTAAATAAAATTCCGGGAGACTCCAGGGCACTCCTGGAGGGTTGGCAACCCTGCTTCGAAGCAAATGTTATGAACCATGTAGGGGCTTGGCTAACAGAGCCCTACTCATTCAGCCAGAGTAGGGCACAGTTTCTGAAAACTGGCCTCTCAGAAGGCCCTGTAAGCGGTTCCTTGGCTGTTGTGAGGCTTACAGGTATCCTGTGACTCTGCTTTTCCACAGAACTTCTGCCAAGAATCTTCCCCATCCCCTTCTACCTAGCTTCCTGGTACATATTTAAAGAAAGTCTAGAGAGTAAAGAAAAGGGCAGAACAAGAACAACTGAGTGGCATCTCACATACTTCTGTGACTGTAGGAACCAGCATGGGTGTAGAGGTGGGCATGCCCTGAAGAGGCACAGAGAAGCAGGCAGCAACTCTTCAAAATGCCTGTGTTGTAAGCAGAGCCAAACTCCGAGTGCACATGTAACGCCAACAGACTCCAGTCACTGGGCAGGATCGAACGTGGGACCTCTGAAGCCTAGAATATATGCCTCGACTGCATGAGCTAAAAGCCACATGGCTCTTCACCAAGGATGTAGCAGACTCATCAATTTCTAGCAGGCCTGACTGCCACTAGATGGGGACAGAGCACCACACAAAGCAGGCATGGGTCACACACACCTTGAATCACTGATTAAAGGTCATTTTCAGCCTGTCTGAGCACCCATTCAAAAAGATTGTTTCTTTGGAGGTACAGAAGAGTGCCCACCTACAGGACCCAGTCCACTTGTGCATCTGGGCCTTTTAAAGCAGGGCTCTTTATGAGAGCTTAGACTTTAGCAGATTAACGACAACTCCACAGTAAACACGGAAGAGCCACACCAGTGCTGACAGGCTGAATATCTTATTAAGACTCCTCCACAACCAATTTAGTTAATGATTAGTTAATGTGTGTACAGTACATTGCTTTTAAGATGAACAGCACTATAGTAATGTTAAGAATTGTTCTTGGGTTTTTTTTTTCAAAATGGGGAGGAGGGTTCTGTGAGTGTAATTTGTTGCATTACCATTAGCACCTAAAAGCCCTACCAAGGTAAGGGCCACATTGTGCTAGGCTCTGTATAAACACAGAGTAAGAGATACTCCCTGTCCCCCAACAGCTTACAATCTAAATAGATGAGACAGAGTGAGGGGGCAAGGCTGACCTGGTTTGATGGGTTCAACCCCAAGTTATAGTTAAACTTTGTAAGCCTTACTCTCTGATGCATGTTAGCTTTGAGCCAAGCAGGTTATGAGCTGACTAACTAGACAGAAGTCTAAAATACAAACATCCATTGCTAAATGCCCAGGAAAGAAAAAAAATATTAAAAATGTTATTTTGCAAGCTTATTTCCAGGCATGTTTCTGATGTTTACCATATATCTAATGAAGAGAATCAAAGCTCTGTCAAAGGACAGAGTAACATGATCATCCCAAACTAAATTTCTTTAGAATTTAGTGTGTTGTTTTAAGCTTTGAAAGGGATACTCTGGTATCAAGCCAGCAGCTTTGATGATACTACAGACATAGGTGCTTTCTGTAGAAATGCAGCAACCAGTGTCTAGAGCACAGAAATCTAACATTCAGTGTTACAAGCTTTCAGTCCTCATCACCTTGCACAAACAGGTCACATGTTAATTAAACTGAGAAAATTAGATTTCAACTGTTTAAATTGTAACACAAACAGGCTTGAAGAATCTAATTTAGATTTTTTAAAATATGTTACCAGAACATGAGAGAGACAAGGTAGGTCTCTTTTATTGGACCAACTTCTGCTGGGGGAAAATACAAGCTTTTGAGCTTTTTAATTTTTATTTTCTTTGTGCGACTATCGGCCTTATTCTGCTACCCTTGTTCATGGGCACCAGCGCACTACTCTGTGAGTAGTACCATGGGTAATACTCTTAATACTTTGACCCTCTCAAAGAATTCTGACAGATTGCTGAGGCATGATTTCCTTTTACAAAAGCCGAGTTGACTCTTCCAACAAATTGTGTTCAGCTATGTCTCTGATAATTCTGTTTTTACTGTAGTTTAAACCAATGCCTGTTACTGAAAGTAGGCTTACCAGTCTAATTGCCAGGATCAAATCTGAAATCTTTTTTAAAAATTGGCATTTCTTTAGCTATCCTCCTATCATCTGGCACAGAGGCTGATTTAAGTGATAGTTACATGCCTCAGTAAGTAGTCCTGCAATTTCATATTTGAGTTCCTTCAGAACTCTTGGGTGGATACCACCTGGTCCTGGTGATTTATTACTGTTTGACTTACCAATTTATTCTAAAACCTCCTCAACTGACACCTTAGTCTGGGACAGTTCCTCAGATTTATCAGCTAAACAGAATGGCTCAGGTGTGGGAATCTCCCTCACATCCTTTGCAGTGAAGACTGATGCAAAGAATTTATTTAGCTTCTATGCAACAGACTTTTCTTCCCTTAGTCCTCCTTTAGCACCTGATCACCCAATGGCCCCATTGATTGTTTGGCAGCATTCCTGCTTCTGATGTACTTAAAAAACATTTTGCTGTTAGTTTGAGTTTTTTGTTAGCTGTTCTTCAA